GCAATCACGGGTAGCATAATGATCTACATTATGCATATTGTTTACTTGTTTACTTTTTTTGACCAATTAAAACAAATATCTGCCATGCTTCTTTTATCAGTATAATATTATATATACATTTTCCAAACAAATTATATATATTACAAACAAAGAAAATATTGTAAAAATTCTTAGATTCTTTTGTGTAATCTTGGAGTAATCTTTATCTATACTTTGTAAAAATAAAATTAGAATCTTATATATAAAGTAAAAAAAAAAAGAAAATTATTGAACAAATTGACTCGATTTCCAATAGTCTGATTAAAAAAAATATATTCAATATATCTTTTAATAAAAAACTTAAATTTAACTTAACATAATGCAGTCTCAACTACTAGTCTGGCTTTTGGTATTCTGTAGATAAAATTTCAGGCAATAGATATATTGCAAAATATTTCTATTGTAAACTCAAACTATTTGGTAGACCTGAAAATTACATAGCCATGTTCTTATATATAGTAAATGGCCTGTTACCAAAAAGACTAATTATATTAAAGAAGTTACCAATTCTCTGTCTAAATCTTAAAAAAAGGCTTTATTTAGTTCAGATCAAGAACAATCCAAGTATGTTATTGTAAATAGTATAATAATAATTAAATTACTTTATTAACTAAGCTCTTATAGTTTAAGTGATATAGCCGATAGTTCTTTCTTATCTGCATTAAAGCATCAAAAAAATCTCACAAGTTGGATTGTTAAACCATTTTTGTTAGATAAAATTGATAAAAAATTGCTTAATGCTATTATCTATAGCAATTTGTCTTTTAAACTCGTCAAAAACTTTTATTTTTTCAAATTTCTTTATGAACTTGCTCCAAATTATTGTTCACCTTTTGCAAAGATATTGAATACTAAAATTTTTAATAATTTATGTTTTGCTTACCTATCTAAAAAATTCAAAACAATGTTATCTCTTACTGATTTTACAATCGCTTTAAATAGATAGCAAGATATATCTCAAAACTTTATTTATAGCTTTATAGTCTTAAAAGAAGAGCAAGAGCATATTTTAGATATTATTAACTTATCTGCAAATCGTCATACTGCAACTTTTTTTTAGGAGAAATTTGAGAAAGTTTTTCAATTAAATTTAGTCCCTGTTAAATCGGTTATTGTATATGTAACTGACAATCCTTTGGTCATAATTAAAATGAAATGCTTTTACCTGTTACCATTATTAAATGCATCTTAATGAGCTCTATAACTTTCAATTAATTAACAAGATTGATTGTCTTAGTAAAAAAAAAGTTTTAATCAATTTTTTCTTTATATAAATTAAAGAAATAATAAATATAATATTAATTTTTATAAAATTTTATTTAATCTTTAGCCCATATAATTAATGAAACAAAATATTCATATACTGTATATACTATCAACCTACTACTAAATCTGAAGTTACTAATATTTTAGAAATAATCTTAAAGAAGATTATCCAAATATAATTTCTATTTGTTGTTGCTTTCATTTTTTTAACTTACTTGCAAAGGATATTTCTTCTTTTCAGCCACTACTTGCAGTTATTAAAAATAATTAAAAGCTTGTTAACTTTTTCATGTTTTCTCATATCTAGCTTTGAATATTGCAAAATTGGCAAAAAAAAAAGGTGTATATTATTCACTTACAACATTCTGCAAAATATGATGATATTCTCTTGCAAAAGTTTGCTTAGGTGTAAAATCATTTGAAAGAGGATTTCAACAATGTATTGATCTTAGTAGAGCTAGTAACTATTCTATAATTAGAACAGAGATTCAAACCATAGTTAATAGTTGTTATCATTTTTGCTAACAACAATATATTAGTTATAGTGCTTATTTCTATTATATATGCTATTGGTTATTTGGAATCGAAAAATACTTTACTGAAACTTAAAAAAAATTATATATGTTTTTATAATAAGATAATAATATATATATATATTTTTAATGTTAAAGGTGAGACCATGCTAAGATAATAATATTTTTAATATATAATAAATATGTGTTTATAAAAAAAACATTTTTATAACATTTTTATAATATATTAATAAGAGTGTTGCTAATTTGCCTTCTTGGTGATATAACTACCTATAATTTACCAATTAGATTGCAGGATCTTGTGTAACAAAATAAAGAAAATTTTTAAGAAAATATTAAAAAATTGTTAATATCATAAAATTTTATTACAAAAACTAGCTTTTGGCTATTAAATAAAAGTTTTCAATACCTAATTTTACATATAAATAATCTATACTTTAACTTAATATAGCCTGTATTCTAACTTTAATCTTTAAAGAATAATTTATTTATACAGTATAAAAATTCTATAAAAATAAAAGATGGTTAAAATTTATAATTTTAACCTCGTATTAAAATTAGTCTTATTCTACTTTTATATGAGATATTTTTATTAAATAAATTTATATTTTATTAATTAGTTAGTAATATATCAACAATTAAATCTTACTAATAATAATTATATTTTGGTAAATCAATTTGATTTAATTTTAATTTTGTGAACTGAAATCAAAAAAAGTTAAAAATTGAAAATCAACAATTGGAAAAAAATAAAAATCAGTAAGTTTAATTATTTAGATATTATTAATTTAGAAACTTTTTTAATTTTTTATAAATTTTGTAGTTATAAATTTGTTTATATATTTGTATTTGCAATTATTATAATATTAATTAATATTTTATTTGTTTTTATATTTTGAATTTTTTACATTTGTTATTAGTATTGAGTTTGTAGTTAAAAATAAATAATCTTAATTTTAATAAAAAATTAAAAAATCATAATATTGTTCATGTAAGAGAAGTAGCCAATACTTTTCCCACAGTAGAGATTCAAAATACAAACTAGTTTTAACATTATACTTTAATTTTAAAATAACAGTTATCTATTTTTTTATATTTTTTCTAATGCATTTCTTTTATTTATATACTTATTAAGCCAATTAAAATAAGTAGAAATTTATAAAATTGTTATTTATTAAAATCAAAAGTATATACAAATTATTAAGCTAAGTTATTCATGTTTTTTTGATATTTCAATATTCTTTATTATTATTTAAAGATTTGTTTGCCTTTTAATATTTCTTGATGTTTTTTTATCTCTTTTTCAAATTTTTCTTGTTTATTTTGTCAATAGTTTTTTTAAGTTCTTTATAAGCTTGTATCAATCCCCTAATTACTTTTTTCTTTTTTCATCTACTATTCTTTGTTTTTCTAATATTTTAACTTCTTTTTTAAGAGATTCCATTTTTTTGATAAGGGCTTTAATTTTTGTTTGTAATTCTTTATAATCTTGTTTCTTTTTTGTGAGTTTTTTATTAAGGTTCATATTTTCTTTCTTGACAGAATCAAGCTCATATTCTTTTATTGAAAGTTTTTTGTCAAGATTAGCATTTTTTTTATTGGCAGTTTCAAGCTCTTGTTTCTTTATTTTAAGGTTTGCATTTTCTTTCTTGACAAAATCAAGCTCTTGTTCTTTATTAAAAATTTTTGTCAAAATTAGTATTTTCTTTATTGGCAGTTTCAAGCTTTTATTTAATTATTGTAAGTTTTTTTGCAAGTTTTGTATTGTCTTTATTGGCAGTTGCAATCTCTTGTTTCTTTAGTATGAGTTCTTTGTCAAGATTCATATTTTCTTTTGTGACAGTTTCAAGTTCTTTTTTGGTATTTTATGATTAATTTTTAGGTTTTTAAAATTCTTTACAAGGACTTTATAATTAATCTTGAGCTTTTATAAGCCTTTTTGGTTGTTTGATATATATTTGATTTTTTAATCTAAACAATATATTAATTAGATTGATAATTATTAAAAATTCTTAAAAATATAAAAGTACTTACTTGTTTAGAAAAAGTATTACTAAATATTTGGGCCAGTGTTTCAAATGATTATATAATCAGGTAATAATATTAATAATTTCATTGAATATTAAAATTTTATTATATAATTTACTTATAAATTTCCAGTTACTATTAATAGTGTTAATATTATTTTGCCAGATTTGATCTTTATTCTATTCAAAATAATATAATTTTTTAAAATATTAATCTATTTAAATAATATTAAAAACATGAATTAATAGCATTAATTGATTTAATAATATTATTTATTATCTTTATAGTAAACATTTAAATTATCATGAGTGCAACAATAGTCACAATAAAACTCCAACTGTTTTTAAATATATTTTTATTATTATTCCTATTAGTATAAATTGCTTGTTGTTATTGTTGTTGTTGGTTTGATATTTGAACCTCTTTTGATTGAGAATTTTCAGTAATTAATAATGTAAATGTTCGGATTTGATTTAAATTTAAATGATTTTCATTAGGAATAACTAGTAGTGTGCTGTCTGATATCTCTAAATAATTATTGTTTAAATTATAAAGCAGAGATTCTATTAGAACTACTATAAATAAAATTTTTTTTTGCTTTTGGGCTTTCTATTATTAAAGAAAATAAAAATTACAAATGATTTCTTACAGATAAATAATAATTAAATTAATTATCTTTTTCTAAATTTCTTTTATAACTTATAGTATCTTTTAAGAATATAATTATTTCAGTTTCTTGATAAATAGTATTGAAAAAAAGAAAATGTATACCTAAATATATTGATGAATTGCTACATAAACTAAATGATCTTTAAAATTTGGATTCTTTTCTATTAATTATTCTTAAAGTATTATGAAAATCAATTGTCTGATTACAAAAATATTTGCTAGGATCATTGCATTTTACAAGAAAATTATGTAAAGATTTATTAGTAAGATATTCACAAAATGCATTATATTAGGCTTCTGGTAGGTTAATTTGTAGAATTTTGTATTTTTTAATTTTGAACATTGTCAAAATTGTTGATTGTGAATTGGGACATTCTTTACTTTAAATAAAGATCAAATAAGTGAACCCACTATGAGCTTTCTTCTTTTATTTATGATCATATTATAATAGTCATGTTTATTTCGCATATACAGTTAAAATATTTGTTATAAGTTTATAGTATATATTCATTAATTGATTTAAAACTATGATCACATAATTTGAATTACAGGTAGATATTCTAAAAGTCTATCTTATATAAAATTCATCAAAACCTTTGAAGTAAAATAATATACAATACTAGTGAATTAAAAAGATCTTAGTAGTAGATAATTGTAATTAGACACTAAAAATTTATCTTACAATCTAGACTGACCCCTTAATATCTTCGACAGAATAAAACTTCATGTATATGTGCAAACTTAAAGTAAAATATCATGTGACACTAATAAATTTACAATTTTTCAGGCTTAACTATTATAACTGTATAACAATTCTTTCTAATCTTGTCTGATAGAAATTACATAATATTTTGTAATGCTCCAAAAATTCGTATAGGTCATAACAATTGATTTGAATTATACAATATCAATATCATAAAAAATAGTTCTAAATATATCCAAGCTAATTTAGAGTACAATTTATATTAGAAAAGTGTTCTTTTTTGATAGAAATATGCTCCAAAAAAGAATGAAATTCATATTGATTATCTTTTTTTAAATTATACAATATTGATATCAAATGAATTTTTTATAATTAACTAGTTTTTTAGTTAATATTGTAATTCAGAATATATTTAAAACAAATTTGTCACTTATTTATGCTAATATAAAAAGCCATTCTAATTTAAAGTTAATTTAATTATAGAAATTATATAATTTTTATACAATTTACTTTATCAATATATTTAAACCAGATTATATATATGATAAAATTAATATATAATTAACAATATCAAAAAACCTGTTCCTGTATTTTTGACAATTAAATTATAGATTTTTAAGCTAAATAAAGTTTATTTGATATGAGCCAATTATTATAATCTTCTTAAATTTATAATAAAATAATAAATAAACAAATTAAGTATAAATGAAAGAGTAGTAAAAAGTTATATATAAAATTTAAGATCTCCTTTAGTATAGGTAGCGTAGCCAATATAGAAATATTATAAGATTATAATATAAAAAAACTCTAACCCTAACCCTAGAGCTAACTATAAACTTTATTATAATCTTTAACTAACTTTAACTAATCTCAAATTTGCTTAAATTAGTTCAAATACTATATTTATATATTATAATCTTAAAATATTTCTATAGTGGCCACCTCTACTAAAGATTAACCTAAAATTTATATTGATTATTAGCAGTCTCATTAGTTATAACATCAGTAATTACTCCAAAGATGGGGTCATGAGTAACATAATTGTAAATTCTTTAGTGTTATATAATATATTTTCAAAAATAAAATTTTTTTATCTGTATTAATAGTCTTGTAAATATCTAGATCTCTCACAAAAACATTAATCAATGAATCTACTCTCTAATGTAACTTAACTCTAATCTAACATAACCCTTATCTCTAACCTTAATAACCCAATTGGATAAAAATCATGAGAGGTAAAAGTTTTTGTGGGTAAGCTATGATACTTCTCTTTTGTTAAATTTATTACATAGTTTTTTTACAATTCAGCACACATGTGTAATTGTGTTTATTTTACTTGCTAGTAAATAAACACTTTATTAAACTCTATAAAAGTTTTGATGAAATCTCATATATGATTTTTCAGGTTTTAGAATCACTATCTATTGATATTAAATTATAAAGATAAATTTCTATAGATTTAAAGTAACCTGTATAACTCAAAGATTATTATAGAATTTTTAGCTCTAAGACTATATAAATAGATTTCTATAATACCAAAATAAGTTGTTGTTATTGTAATATAAAAAAAGTATTTGGATTTAAAGTAACTCAGAGATTATTTATATTTTTTATAATTTACAATTATCTCAAAATAAGATATATGTAAAAATGAGCTGTTTTAATTGACTACACCCCATATGTTCTCTTGAAACATAATTGTTAAAGCAAACTTTGTACTCATCCTGGTAATTTATTTGAATCATACATTCTCTTGAAACACAATCATTAAAGTGAATTGAATTTAACTTAATACTCACTCTAGTAATTTTTTTGAATGATTAAATAATTACAGTTAATCAATATTCTATTGAAACACAAATGTTAAGGTGAATTAAATTAAACTTTGTACTCAACCTGGTAATTTATTGAACAATTAAACAATTATGCTGTTCTCTTAAAATATTAAACTTCATATTCACCTTGGTAATTTATTGAATAATTGAATGATTATGGTTAATCATTGTCTTAAAACACAATCGTTAAAGCGAATTGAATTAAACTTCATACTTACTCTGGTAATTTATTTAAATGATTAAATGATTATAGTTAATTATACATTTTCTTGAAATAAATCATTAAAGTAAATTGAATTAAACTTCATTCTTACTCTAGTAATTTATTTGAACATTTAAATAATTATAGTTAGTTACACGTTCTCTTAGAACACAATTGTTAAAGCGAATCGAATTAAACTTCTTACTTACTTTGGTAATTTATTGAATAATTGAATGATTACAATTAATCAATGTCTTGAAACACAATCGTTAAAGCAATTTGAATTAAACTTCATACTTGCCTTAGTAATTTATTTAATTGATTAAATTAATATAGTTAATCACATATTCTCTTAAAATACAATCATCAAAGCAAATCAAATGATCACTCTTTTCAATTTGGTTGGATTGATGATCTGAATACTTTTTTTTAAGTTCTATAAATCCTGAGATTATGATGAGAATATTACTTTATATTCGTTATGTTTTGTGAACTCATTTCAGAATTCTTAGATTTTCCCTTTTTGATAAATAAATTATTTTAAAAAAATGATAAATATAAAGTAGTTATCTATCTTGTATTCACAGACTCACAGAACTCAAAAAACATTATGCAGATCATCAATCCAACCAAATAGAAAAGAGCAATAAATTTCATATTCTGGTAATTTATTTGAATAATTACAGTTAATTAATATCTTAAAACACAATAGTTAAAGTAGATTGAATTAAACTTCATACTCGCCCTGGTAATTTATTTGAACAATTAAGTGATTATAGTTAATTACATATTCTCTTAAAACACAATCATTAAAACAAATCAAATTAAACTTTGTACTCACCTTGGTAATTTATTTGAACGATTGAATAATTACAATTAATCATACATTTTTTTGACAATCATTAAAGTAAAACAGATTAAAATTCATACTCACTCTAGTAATTTATTGAACAATTAAATGATTATGGTTAATCAAATATTCTTTTGAAACACAGTCATTAAGGCGAATCGAATTAAACTTTATACTCACCTTGGTAATTTATTGAATGATTGAATGATTATAGTTATTCAATGTCTTAAAACACAATCGTTAAAGTGAATCAAATTAAACTTACTTTGCTGAAACCTAGGTTTTTTTTACTATACAAATACTATACTGTAATAATATTATAATAATATAAATTATTAAA